AAACAGTAAAGGCCCTGAGACTGAGAAGGTAGGAGAAAGCTTAGTAAATTTGAGAAATGGAAAGACCAGTGTAACTAAGAAAAAAGCAAGAGAGACAGGACAAGGGAGAAATGGAGAGCCAGGTCACGCAGGGCCTTTAGGTAAATGTAAGTTGTTTGGACTTTATCGTAAATGCTATAGAGAGATCACTGAAGGGTTTTAAAACACAGGAATGACAATGTTGTTATTGCTGTATTGTTTGTGAAGTTTGGGGTTAAGGTCACCAAAGCCCCGGATTAATCAAAATGCAGTATGACAGTTAGCACTGTGCCTCATGTGTGGTAGGCAGAAGTTAAATGATAGTCGGTTTTTCTTTCTTATTCTACAGTAAATATTATTTTCTACATATCACCAATGGACCTGGGTGAGGGAGCACCTTCATTATTCCTGGTATTTGCAGCGTGGGTTTAATAGGCTGAATGCTTTAAAATGGTTTTATTCAACGCTTACAATAAAATTGAGGCACTGATCCTTCAGTTATTCCTAAAGAACCATTTATGCTTAAAAAGGCTTTTGACTATTTCTTCCCAACAAGCTATGTGCATTAACTCAAACTCAGTCTGCACCAAGCCTGTATGTGTGTGTGCAAATGAGAATTGAAATGTGAATCTCCAAGGACTGAGTTTGGCCCTTGTTGATAAGTAAAAATTTCCTCTGGAGCATTCGTGACAAATCCACTCTAGCATTCTCCTAGACGTATTCCTAGGCAACTCTGGAAGGTGGACAGAGATACATTCCTCTCATCTCCAATGAATTCTCCAAAGACTAAGTTATACGTCTTCAGGAGAAATGGAAAATACCCAATGTACATAATGCTTGTTTTATTAAAATAACTGTGAAAAAGTAGAATTGGCTTCTACATAAAACAAAACCTCCCAATTTTAGCAGTTTAAAGGAAGCTTTAGGCCTTTTAGTTACAGATATTGCTGGGATTAAGATAATAATCCAGTATAGAACTATATTTATAGTAGCATTTCTTTCAAAATAAATTTTTGTTCTATTTTCCCATTAGAAAACAAAAATGTAGACTTCCAGTTACTCAGACATCGATCTATACTCCCTCTCACCAAAAAAAGACACTAAAAATATAAAAAAGGTATAAGCCCACATGGGCAAAAATAATAGATCCCGCCCCTTACTAAAAGCAAGCTAAAGCAGCCTGTAGAATAGCACAGGTCTTGAGCCTTGGAAGCTCCAAATCACAGTGAATGTCAGTAGGCATGAGAGGGTTAAAAACAAGGTGACTGCTTAAAAGTCTGTAACTGCAGTCACACGCCCTCAACTACCCACAGGCAGGGTCACAGAGGTTTTGTTCTCGGGAGAAAGTGACGGGCAGACCTTCTGGTGTTAGAAGACTCAACAGAGAGAGCACGGGCAGTCACAACACTGAACACAGGCACATTTAGGGGGAATCTACCAACTGAAATGGGGGGATAGCTCAGCCCAGAAATCCAGGACTTAGGGTCATCAAAGCTCTATGTCTGCCCAAGGAAGCACGTGGATAAAATTGGATTCAAATCTGGTCCTGCTGCTTGCTAGCTAAATACAATCAAGGGCCAGTCATTAACTTCTTAGTGCCCTTACCTATAAAATGGGGATAATAGGGCTCTGAATGATTGGAAGGATTAGAAAATGAAAATAAAGCATTTGGGACATATTCACTGAGCAGTAGCTGGCATCATCAGTGAAGAGCAGGTTGCAGAGAGCTTTCTGGAGGACTCCGGACGGAACTACCATCCAATACAAGTACCTGTAAACAGACTCCTTTCTTCATGTTATTTTCTAACAGATGACTCTGGAACATAATGTGAATTTTTCGGTAAGTCACAAGTCAAAATCAGCTTTGCGAACATTGTTCCATATGCCCAGTAGACCATTGGAGAATGGACTTTGCAGTCAGACCAAATTGACTGTATTCCTGGCTCCTCTTAATTACTAATGTGATGAGTCACATAAGGATTCCTCACCTGTGAAGAAGAAACAGCAACAGTTCTTCGCAAGATTGTTGTGAGGATTGGCTGCAAAGCACGTTAAGACCCTAGCAGAGGGCCTATGACCTGGTGGGTCTCCAGAAATGGAAGCCATTTTCATCACAATCGTTATTAGATCAAAAAAAAAAAAATTACAAATGTCAATTGAAAATCTGGTCAATTTTAAAATAAGTTTGCTCTGGGCTTATTTTTTTCATTCATCAAATGTCAATGGGGTGAGAGGATCGTGTGACTGTAAGCAAGGTACTGATTCCACTGACTTCTACATCAGTTTGGAAATTGCCAGAGTATACTTCTAGATGGTAACCTATACGTCTCTTCTTGCCTAGGACATCTGCACACATTTCAGCCCACCTGCCAGCATAAATGATGCTCAATATTTTAGGTAGCCTGTATATGGGGGATTGTTCTTCGTTCTCTGTAAAATGGATCTCAAGCCAGAATTAATGCAAACAGTACTTCTGTGGCTTGTAGATGAGAACTCATCTTTGTTTCTTGGACTCTCATCCTCAATTTGTCTTTCAAGTGGAGAAAGCATAAAATAAGAATATGAGGAGTAATTTCTCATCTCATAATGGAAAAGTATAAACAATTTTCATCTAAATTCTCTAAAAATACTAGAAGATATAGCACAAGATTTTATTTCATAGGATATTTTATTTACTGTCTCAATGGGATATATTTTAAAAGCTTAGAATATATTGTATTATCTATGGCATAGCCACACAATCTTATATTGTTATCTTCCTAATTGAGGCAATTAACAAAACAAAATGCACATTCAAATGAAACATGTATCTAAACCATTTAGAAATAATTAAAATTATAGATCAGGTTTTCTTTCACTGATCACAAATTATGGTAATGCTTCTGTGGTGTTCATTTCCGGGCTCACTTTGGTGTGTTTATTAAAGCACGGTATTGTCAGATCACAGGGAGCATCTCATTTTCATTTTCATATCTCCAATCCTAAAGGGGATTAAATTATCCAATTAAGCTGTTAATTAAAAAGACTCCTACAGAATAAACTGCAGGCTACCAATGGCACTTTAAAATTTTCATTGTGCTGCACCCAAAAGCAATTTCCCAGAATTCAGATGACCTCAAAGGTACTGGCCCGCATTTCACTTTACAAAGTGTGGCTGGGATTGCCAGCTGATAGCCAAACCCATTTCCTCTTCTTTCTGGACACACAGCTGGACTGTATATCCCAGCCTCCCCTGCGGTTAGGCTTAGCCACATGACTGAGCTCTAGCCAATGGAATAGGAGCAGAAATGACAGAGATAGTTCCTGGAACCAGACCAAACCTTCCACTCAGTATCTTCCATGGCCTCTTCCCTACCACCAGCTTCTTGTAAGATGAGCATGTATTCAATCATGTTGAAAATGGCTGAATCACAACGTGGAAGGAACCTGAGTTCTTAAATCACCAATTGGAAGACAGAGGCTCACTGACCATTAATACCATTTTGTATGCAATGAAAACAAGAAATAAACTTAAATTGGACTGAGCCATTAAGATAATGTTTCAACAGCTAGTGTGATCTTAATTAAAAAAGAAAAAAACTGAACTTGAGGGACATGCAAATACCTTAGATCTACTGGAAACATTTCTCCTCCTTCAAATTTTGAACAGGTCCACTTAGATATGTATCTAACAATTGAATCAGACTCAATACGTCTTGGGTCTCATAAAATCTATCATACAGACCATAGCACGAGAAATTCTAGACTCCTTGCCTCCATTCCCCCAAAGCCCCTCCTTCCTGTCCATGCCCCAGAGATCACTCATCAACTATTACTTCTATGCATCTTTCCTTCTGCCACTACCCCCTACACAAGAATTCTTATTTCGAGGATCAGCTCAGAAACTAGAGCAAACTCTCTAAGAGGGGCACTAACAGGCCACATTCAGCCACTTATTACCCACCAATTCTGTCACCCGTCTGACACCTATCTCCCGTACACAGTCCCTATGGCACACCTATGACAAACCAGTGCTTTCCCAGATCTTAGAACATTATCAGTGCCAGAAAGATGTTTAAGATAATCAACAAGGGTCTCTACTTGCCCTACCAGCCTAACCTCAAAATGCTCCCATAGAGTAGTACAGATTCTACGGTACGCCTCTAGATTTGTCTGGACTCCGGCAAGACAGAGAGGCTTACATTGTCCTGCATCACTCATTGTCCAAAGGTCACCAGGGGATACAAAATCCTAGGCACTTCCGGCTCTCTAAGTGTGCGTGGGGCAAAGAGGCTCCAGTAGCATGAGCACAGCTACCCTAGAGAGCCCCAGCCACTTAGAAAGAAAAGCACACAGGTGAGGTTAGGGTGCCCAGGGAAGGGGACTCGCTGGCCTTTGGGCAGAGAGAGAGCACCAACAGCGTCCACCAGAGGAGAGTTGACTAATTCCTTTTCTGTGCACCAAACCACAACCTGATGTCCTTGAATATCACCACACAAAGCAGGGTGATTCTAACAGTTTATGGATCTGTCTCCCACTAAGACCAAACTGTTCACTGAGGCCCAGGGACAGCATATAATCTGCCTAAATACAGCTAGTTCCATGATATAAATAGAACAGGTGTTCAGTTATGGTGTGCTGAGTGACTATAGATGGACTAGATTGTTAAAGAAAGGTGAGAGCACATAGAGATCCCTTGGTCTGATACTAACTGTAATGTTCACTGTCACTTTGGTAAGATCAGCCCTATCGTGGCTGATAATTCCCTCAGAAGCCTCCCTTCTCCTCACCAGGAATATTATTGCATAAGCAATAAGCCACATCTGCTGACTTATATTCTGGAAGGAAATACAATGACCACCTTGCAAATCTCTCATTGTCTACAAAGTTACTGCATTCAAATCCCACTTTCCTAAACCAAGAAACCTAGTCTACTAGAGTGCTTTGTGTACTTTTTGGGCAAACAGTACAGTCTAAAACAGAAGCGAATGTGTTAACAGATACAATAGATTATAGTATTTTTTAAGAGACAGTAAAACATACATACACACATACATACATACATAAAAATAAAAAGAGAGGAAACAGAAAATCTTCAACTTTTTTATTGTCCTTAAAATGACTGTTCACATTGTTCCACAAGTAGGAGAAGAAAATACAATGACCGTTTAGATATAAAACACATAATGCAAGAACACCTTTCTTCAAACCAGTGGGGGCATGGCCACCGGTGACGAGAATGTTGCTGCATGAAAAATCATATTCTTCCTTAACTTAATATGCAACTAAGATGTTATGTTAAAAATATCAGGGAAGAAGCCCATCAAATGCTAAGTGATTATAGAAATACTAAGAGGATAAATGTATTTAGAAATGGGGTAATCTAAGGGATGAAGGTTAATGCAGAGGTCAGCAGCCCACAGAACAAAGACTCTGCCTTTCCTGATTCTGGGATACTCGACAAAGCAATTTCAAACCTCTCTCCACTTCTCTGGCATGAGCATAACCCGTGTGGCAAGCCATCATTCCTTGTTGCTTTTTAGTGATGCTCCAGGGCTAAAGAAGATAAAATTTATGTGCTATGCTTTAAGCTCCATTGAGGAAAGGCACTGAATAAACTTCAGGATAATTTACGAATCCTGAGCTTGCATCAGTCATGTCCAAGTCCATCTCATAAAAGGAAAAAAGGAAAATAGGAGGCCAATGCTGTGTGGCTGGTGAAAAGCTGAACAAACTTTGGGCAATGGTGATAAGCTCAAATAATAGCACTTTATATACATAAAATCCTTGACTAATCTGGGAGAATTTTCAAAAAAAAAACAAAAACAAAAACCCTAACTCCTTCCAACACCCAGACAATAGTCCATTGGCAGAACATCTGGTATATGAATCAGAAAAGTATGTGACAGCAGTCCTAGTCTGTGATCCAGTATCTAATTTCCTTTTGACTTACCATAATTATTTTTGTAAAACTTTATGGCTCTACTCCAGTGGATGTGCTTTGCCAGGATTGCCCAAATCCTGTCTTCTCTTCAGCAACATATTCTTAGGCCAGCTTCTCCCTACTTTTTTACCTTTCCTTCCACTTGCGTTTTACCTTCTTCCCTCTACCACTTACTCAGTGTCTGCTTCCTTTAGCGATCTGTATCGAAGAAAAGGAACAACGGAGAGTGTCGTCTGAAAATTTAAACAATGAGCATGTATTTGGATATCCAATCCTACCGGAAATTTGTTCTAGCTAGTATTGAGGATTTGGTATCGCTGCTTTGGGGTTATTTTGTTTTAATAATGGCCATCGTATCTACAATTTTCAGGATAACTGACATATCAAGGAAAGTTAATCAGGACAAGGCAGCCACATTGCTTAGAAATTGTAGGGCCCCAGCTGATCAACCAGCTGTCCTCAATCAACGACTGACTGATGGATGCCCATTTCCAAAGTCTTAATCCTATGCTTTTATCAAACACTTTCTCTGACCTGCAGGAATGTGTTTATTGGGAGTTTAAAAAGAGAAATCTAGAAGGAAACTGCTATCCATAAAAGCATAAGAAACCTCAGCTGATTTTAAATGTCCAAGTACCAGGATAAAACAAGGAGCATCTTGTATGTCTAAACCAAATCAGAATGATTCCTCCAGAGAAAAGGCATGTACTCTCCTAGCAGCCCTACCCTAATTCCCCTTGTTTTTAAAAATATGAACTAAGGTCACATTAAGCCTTAGTTAAAAGGAGGAAAAAGTAACTGCTCTTCAGAAGTTCATTCATTCGGAGAGGAGGAGGTCAAGGGGGAAATCACTCTCCTCTAAAGCAGTGTAACTGTTTTCCTCATGATGGAGCCCCTGCATTTTTCTCCCTTCAGAAGTTCCCACGGTTTCGAAAAGACATGGCACACACTTACATTTAAAAAGTAAATAGGACAACAAATCACAGGGGTGCAAAATGGCCTCCCATGGTTAGTCTGAATTTGTCCTTTTGCTTTTGAGATTTTCCTATTGGCCAAAACTGCATACACAATGAATAACGCAAAGGGGTGACAGCTATTTTAAGAAACTGGAAATGCCAGTTTAAGGCCATCACAATTATATCCTACACACACACACACACACACTAATAAGAGATGGAGTTCCCTTGAAAGCATAAAGTCCTGAGGATCAAAAACTTAGTCCTGCTCTTCCTTACAGGCTATTTAGAAGGCCTGGACAGTGAAAATTACGTTTCTTTGGACTATGCAGGGAATTCTAAATTTAATCAATAAATTCTAAAATGTCTTCAATCAAGAAATTTTTCAAAAAGCTTTTTTCAAAGAGAGGTAACATTAACTGAGGCAAAACTCAAGGGTACTTTGCACCCACACCTCAATGTGGTATTTGTTGCTTTGTGCTAAAGGAGAACGGAAGCTGTAACGTCCCTAATGGAGAATCAGAAAATCATCTTCTCAATGCCTGCTCATTTCAGAATCAAAAAAGTGCTCATATATGAGGGTAATAAGACAAGTAAGAATTGGACTAAAGAAAAGTGTCCGGCAGACAGACATAATCACTGAGGCTTGGGCAAAAGAGATCAAATGGTGGAGATTTCATCTCTTCATGTCCCCACTGTTACATGACGAGGAGTTGTGACTTCTTCCGGGCCTTAAAGACACATCTTTTTTTTCTTTTTTCTATTTGATAAACTGAAATCCTTTCTCAAGTAGCCTTTTGGCCAGCTTTGTTCAGGCTGACTGAAACAGGGCAATCAGCGACGTCAGATATAAGCTGCGAGATGCATTTTCATCCCAACAGACTTCCAAACTGAAGGCAAAAATTTCAGCAGAAACTGTAAAATGAAGCTTCAACACATTTCTAACTTAACTACCATAGAGTTTATAAACGCTGGGGACGACGATACATAAAGCCTAGCACCATGTTCTATAGAGAGGTAAGACCTACCAGGTATTCCAGGAACATGTCTTCATCATTGAGGGTTACACATTTAATAGACAGAATTTTTTTTCTGGATACATTCTACTTAGGCCCCCTGCGAAGCTGTGGCTTAGAACGGTATCTACCATCTAGCTGTTTACACACTAAAAATGGACAAGAGCAACAATCCAGCAGATAATGTTTTAACAAAAGGGGCCTAGAGATTTATTTTTGTTAGTTTGGTTTTGTAAAGAAACATACTGGGATCCCTTCTCGGATTCCATTTTTTTGAGCCCTACAACTTGAATATAGTGTTTAGATCCAACCAACACCCAAATAAGGAAGATGTGCTAAAACCAGGAGTCCTGTGGGGCGGGGCGGGGCGGGGCGGGGCAGGGCGGGGAATATAGGCTGAAAGCAGTGGCGATGAGCGCTCCGTGTGGCCTCTACTAGTACTGCATGGCTCTCGGGCCGGCATACAACAGCGGCCTAGCTACCAGAGTCGGCAGGAGTCCAGGCCTCTGTTCATCGTGGAATTCAGTGGACACTTAAAGGCTTTCTGGAATTCTTCGAAGTTGCTAACTGCACCATTGACCCTGGAAAAGATATGTCAGAGCTCATGTCATTTAATTCTTCCATCTCAACAGGTTCTGGATAAAACTGTAGCAGCATATTGCTCACAGGGATGTTGCATTCGCTTCATCTGTTTACTACAGGGGAGACGACTGAAGCCCAAATGGGAGAAGTAAATTTCCAAAGAAATTCACAGAGCTGAGACTAGAACCAGCATCTCCTGAATGCCAGGCAAATGCTCTTATTAATCTTCCCAATACCCTCAAATTCCTATAAACTGTAGGATTTACAGTTCCTATAAATCATGTATATGACTATATAGTCCTATAAATTTAGATTCCTATAAATTGTTATATTTACCAATACTTAGGCTTTCTATTTTTTTAACTTTTATGGGAGGTATAACTGATACAAAGTGTTCAAGTGTATATACCCATGTTACTACCACCCAGAACAAGACATGGAATATTTCCAGCACCTAGAAGGCTCCACCGTGTGCCCTACCAGTGGAACTTCCAAGGATAACTACTAGTCTGACCTCTATTACCATAGATTAGTTTTGCCTGTTTTTGAACTTCATATCAATGGAATCACACAGTATGCACTCTGTTGTTCCTGGCTTCTTTCACTCAATATTATTATGTCTGTAAGATTCATCCCTGTCGTTGCTACCTAAGACCTCATCCGACCTACAAAAACACTTCCACTTAATTCCCATTATGCATGAAGGTTCATATTTACCTAGAATTTGGTCCACACAACAAACTAATGAATGGTGTCTACTTGTTATTGCGTTATTGATGAGGACTGTTTTACTGGAGTTAGTTCCAAAATCTGGTGTCCTTGCAAGTTCCCTGACTGCAGTAAAGACTGTGGATTCCTACTCAGCACTTTGGTTGGCAGTGGTATTTCCATTGTGTGATTTCTGCTGTACTCAAAATCTATAGTTACTGCAGACATCACTAACAAGCCAGCAAAAACTGCCCCCTCATCTATTTCTTACTCAACTGCATATTCAAAGGGTTGACTAGAGACTCAGCGTTCTTAGTTACTATTTCTTCCCTAATGACTCTGTCACCTATGGGCATGTGAAGGAATATACTGGCTTGTATTCAAACCTCTTGTGTTTTAGCTGGGATATATGAGTAGGGATGCATATTTCATAGTGTGATTCACCCTGGGCAAATGTTAAAGAGAATTTAGCTGATAATTAGTAAGTATACTCTGCAAATTATCAGCGAAAATCCAACATTACAGGTAACTAGTTAGTAAAAGGAAATTAGTTTCTAAAATCTTATCTGTTAAGTAATTAATCTACTGTGTGGTTTCTATCTGCACCATTCATCGGTGGGAGCATATTTTAGTTCATTAGAGACTGTCAGCATTTTTTGACAGTTTAGCCCAGTGGGGGAGAATTTTCTAACACTGTGATTAGATTTTTATGGTACTCGATAATTTAGAGTCAGTTTCTGAAGCATTTCTAAAGCAAGGTTTTAGGAATAAGATTTTTAAATATAGGAGAAATTTTAGATGATCTTCCTACACTGTGCTGATGGATTCATTTAAACATTAAACATAAAGATATCCAGATATAACATGCTCTAAGGAAATAATCAATCAATAAAAATTACTATAGTTTCTTATATATCCCATTATAATTCTCTGACCCCAACTATAGAAAATCTCCCTCAAACTGGGCTAGAAACCTAGCACTGATAAGTACACTAACCTTAATTTTATTTTTACTTGTTATTTTGTACATTCTGACAATTAAACAAGATTATAGTTCATAATCCCTTTCCCTTCATTTGAAGCAACTGTTTCAAAAAATGATTCAAACTGAAAACCAAACCATAGCGCTTTGACTCCAGATATGAATTCTAATAGCTAAATATCACCATACATCCTCTTTTGTGTTCAGAGCTATTTGGGAAGCAGGCATTCATTCATGTCTGCCAGTTCGCTGTGTGAAAGAACAAGAGGCATTTAACAGGATATTCTAGAACACAAAATACACCAGAGCTCTGTGTGTTTTAAGGCACAGTATGTAAGCTCCCATCGTTGTCTAAGGAAAGAGACATTTTTGGCCCCCACACACAAAAAAGTAGGTGGTTGGATAGATCAAATACTTCAGTTTACTGAGCACCCATGGTGCTCATGACACCCCTGGACTGGGGCCTTTCAAAAACTGGAAGATAATAAATGGGAATTAATACTAAAGCTTTGATTTGGATTCTAAAGTACCTTTGGAGTCTTGTACTATCTCATGGATCTCTTGATATAGCACTGGACCAGAGGCATGCATCAGTGCCTACCAGAGACAGTTTTTTTTTTGTTTTTTTTTTTTTTAAAGAGAATTCTGACTAAACTAGCTTCCTACTGTGAAAGAAAAGGTGCTCAGTTTCTGTTTGGCCAGATATTTCTGTCCGCAAAATGGAGATATCGCTGTTCACAATACAGGCTTTTGTTCCGATCTCCCATTTGGTATAGCACAGGGATGGCTGAGTCGGGGAGGAGGTGGGAGACGAACATTTAAAAATGAGGGTCACCAATTTGCCCATTTACCTAAACTGAGGGGGGCTGTGAGCACCAATTTGGATTTGTTCTCGGGCAGCTTCTGGTCTGTAGGAATTACACCTCACCTAGAAGAGAAAAGCACACCAATAATTATGTTTCCTTCCCAATTACACTTTCTACCGCCTTAACTGCTCCAAATTATACTGAAGAGTAATTCTAGACTCAGTGGATGACAAACAGTTTTAGTAGATCAGATAAAACCTTCATCAGTGGCAACATCTATTATTCTAATCCCCAGAGTAGAAGGTTTTATTGTGTGCATAATTCCACAATTTGAGTAAATTAGGATGGTTTCCAGACAAATTTCTTAAATCAAGAGAACAGTGTATATGCCCAGGAATCGGCCAATGTATCAATTCAAATAATATAATGCTTGGAAGAGCCCTTATCAAATTCAGTCATACTCCAACAGGAAAAAATGAACCCATCATTCATTACTGAGTATGGTCATGGGATGTGAGTATTTTGCATCCTAAGTGCCTTGCTTGCGTCACCCCTAGTCAAGGCCTTGGATAGGAAGACACTTCTCCATAGACTCTGAAGTTAGGCAAAGCTCTATGACTTGCTCTGATCTGTTAAATGTGAGCAGAAGTGATAGACGGCACACCCTTGTGGAAGCTTTAAAAACCTAGCATAAGTTTTAAGCATCTTAAGAGCAATTTAAGATGCCACATGAAGGTCCACTGTACATTTCCTCATATCACTTTCCTACTCCGATGGTGAACATGTAAGCACGTGTTGAGATCAAGACTCCAAAACCCAAGTCCCTGAGTAATAACTATGAGTAGAGCACCACTCTCAACCCACACTAGACGGGGAGCATGAACACAAAAGAAACTGTCTTTATATTGTTTGCTTCTGCACTGTAACCTACTCAATCCTGACTTGCAATGTGTCTGGAAACATGATATAGTCTTGAAGTACGAAAAGAACTAGGAGACATGAAATGATGGGGTGCATTCCAAGTGCAGGAGAAAATGGAAGCAAAGACCTGAGAGAAAAAAAAAAAAGCGAGACATTTAGTGTAGCTGGACTGTGTGATGCATAATGGGCAGCAATGGGAGACCAGGGGAGAGAGAGGATGGTGCCAGACTTCTGAAGTCTTGAACAACAAGTTAAAGAATTTAAACTATATTTAAACATTGTTTGTGAGCAAGAAAATGATAAAATCATGTTTTTAAAAGAATTATCTGGCAGGGGTGCATAGTACTAAGAGGAAATTAGAGATCAGTTTGAAGAGTATTTATGGGCCTCAGAAAGGTTTCCGATGAGTGGCCACTAAATAAGTATAAACAGGAATGAAGAGAAGTAGAAGGATGAGGAGAATATCCGAGGAAAAAAATTAACAGGTCACAGAAACTACAGGGACACAGGAAGCAGAAAAGATGATATGATGTTATTGCTTTTGATGAAGATAAACAGTCCGAATGTGACTGTGAAGACGTTTTCGTAATGTGATTCCTTAATTTCCTCAGAAGCTAGCTAAATTGAAGTTGTTTCTGACATTCCCCATTACCTCATTTTTTCTTGTGCTATTTCTTCTTATATTCTTACATCATTATATGGCATTGTTCTAGTACTGTCTTTGCTTCATAAATCATTTAAGAGACCTCTGAAAACACATTATGGTTGTTACTGTTTTCCTAGAATCTTCTCAGGAGGGAAAATAACTTTACTCCCTATAGGCAGACTTCTTCCAATGTGCAAAAGACTGAAAATCTCCTCCTTCTGTCAGTAGGAAAACCTCCAAGATAAATTTCTCATTAGTAACATAAAATAGCTTTCCATTTTTTCCTAAATCTCTTTAGTTTAAAATAAATCAGATATGCTTTGGAATTTTATTTGAAGGCATTATTTGAAGGTAATATTGCTACCAGTTAGTTTACTTTATGCACAAAAAGATATGGTGGACTAGGATGTAAATAAGATGGACTTTAATTAAGTAAGTTAACAACCAAAGGAAGAACCAGTGGATGTTGTACTTTGTCCTCTTGATCAAGGGTCAGCAAACTTTTTCTGTAGAAGGGCAGACATTAAATATTTTAGGCTTTGCACACCAGAAGATCTCTGTTTCAACTATTCAATTCTGCCACTGTAGCACAAAACCAGCCACCCACAACACAAAGGAAAGACCTTGGCTGTTTTCCAACAAAAGAGTTTTTACAAAAATGGACAGCAGACCATATTTGGCCCATGGGTCCTAGTTTGCCAGCCCTGCTCTAGAAAATTCCAACTGTATTGTGTGTGCTTATTTGAGATATCTGACCCAGTCCTGATTCCCCCCTCTCAAAAAAAAAGTCTCCTTAACGGAACTGTTACCTAGTCTTATCCCTTTCAAGCAATTCATCTAAAAATGTCAAGCATCTTCAATATACCCAGCATCTTTGCTGGGTGCTATGGAGATACGTAAGAAATAGAAGGATCCAGAAGATTAGCTATGAAGATAAAACTAAAAGTCCTCAACATTTTGAGAACAATTAAGGACTCAACTGCATAGTAATGAAGAGAAGTGTAAAGGAGTTGGAGATTCAAAAAAAAAAGAGAGAAAAGGAGAACTGGAGTCCTTGGGGAAGTTTGTGGAAAATGTGGAGGAGGTGGGACTCGACATGGAGCCTGAAAGATAAAGACAGGATTAAATCGTCTGAGGGAGAGGAGTAAGAAGGAGGTCACATTATGGAAGGAAAATCCAAAGCAAAGCCCCAGGGACAGTAATAGGCCTAACACTGCGGGGTGGCCATGAGGACGCCTGCCTGGCTAAGGGTGAGCGTGGTAGAGCCTCAGAGCTGGTTGCGTAGAGGGGGATAAGACTGGACAGAATGATGAGAGCCAGCTGCATGTGTTTGGCCTCCATGTGGTAGGCACTTGGGAGTCACTGCAGTTCCCTGAGCAGGTCAGTAATGAAGTAAAAGTGCTGTTTCACAGGGGCATGTAAGATAGTGGTGGAAAGATGCCAAAGGCAGAAAAACGTGCCTTAAGGCTGTTGGGATAATCCAGAATAGGAGAGATCAAGGGCTATTCTACAGAGGATGAGATAGAGGGTAATGGGGAGAAAAAGAGGATGAATCTAAAGAGAAGTTAAGGATGAAACATCTAGCTTTGGGAACCCATGTCATAAAAAGGAGGATAGACAAATCAAGTAAGAGCGAAGAATCTAGATTTTCTAACCAGGAAGACCCAAAGAATGGGGTGTGTTGATAGCAACAGGAAAATGAAAAAGGGAGGTCATTTTGGTGACTCCAGTTTTGCTGATGTCATGTTGATAAATGATCACTAATTTAGTGTTGCCATGTCAGCTTTAAGAAATAAAAGATCCAGAAAGGTGAGAATCCTTTAGCCAGGCTCAACCAAAGAAGATGTGGGAAGGAAAGAGCTTACTGAGGAGCCAATGCAAAGACTGAGCAAAAGAAGGCTGTGCTGGTAACAACCGTGGTCTTACAGATACACATTTGCCCACTGTGAAGCCATGTGTTAGAACCTTCATCAACCCACCCCTGCCTGCTTTGAAAATGAGGCCTACACGTTTGTGACATAAGTCAGGGCAATAACCAATAGCAACCAAGAACTGGCGCTTGTCTCATTAGCCAGAGACTTGAACTGAGAATTGTGTCTCTTTTAGTACACATCTTTCACTTTCTGCTCAGAAAGCCCATCAAACTCACAAAAGGGTGAGATGACTTTCCTTGCTTTTGTTGTTGTTTTCAGCTCTAGCAGTCTTCACATACACATCTGACGGTGGAAAACATAGCTTTAAGGGTCCCCCACAGGTTGAAAGTGGTGAGATACAGTCAGCCAATGAGGCAAAAAAAAAAGAAAGGAGAAATGCAGCAAAAGGCAGAGCCACAAAAGCCAAAGAAGGAATCACTAGAAATGATTATAAAGTGTAGTGCATACATTAAGAAGTCAGCATATATTAAAGAAATACCAAGTGGGTTATGATAGGCTGGTAACCCACTTGACAACACCACTAAACTCTAACTCAATCAGTTAATTAATTACGTCCCATAGAACACTAAGAAGGTGAAATTTACCCTGAAAATAAACAGCAAGATAACACTTCAGCTAAAATCAAAGATATACCACTAAACTTTTGACCATGGGAGCAAGCCAAAGTCCCACATTTCATCTCTGATGCCCCTTCCTTGGCCTACTCACGTGAGCATAACTCAGGAAGAAGAGCTGGTTGTTGGTGAAGATGATGCCTGGTAGGAGAGGCTCCTCAACTCCCTGCCTCTTGTCATTTATCCATTTCCTGTAGGCCTGGTGAGAGAAGCAGAATGGATGATCCTCTGCAATGGTGACCTTCCTTTTTTCTCACCCAGGGCAGAGATCCTAAATATATCCTCCACCATGTACCAGCCTGTCAAGTTTTCCTTTAACAAAACCAGCCCCTGGAGATGCCAAACATTGTTGTGTTGCTTAACAGCGAGGCAGGTTCACCTGCAAAAAGACCTTACACTCAATAGATACCAGGGCAGCTGGGCCAAAGCATTCACATGTTAAATAACTCCTCCTCCCCCAAAAATCTATTCTTTCTCTGACACAATGGCAAGGACTATGGAAATAAATTTGGGGGTCAACATATTGGTGCCAAATTTTTATTTTTGCAAATAAAAGGGAAAACTGTCATCTTCAATCACCATCACCTTATAAAATATATGTTAACCAGAAGACAGGAAGGATGTAACCTCAGAATAACAGCCTGGTCTTTACATTAAATGCATTTACCTCTAAGAACATCTTTCCACATCGTCCTCACATTTCTTGTTTAACCAAGGACCAGAGGATGATGAAAACATTATTACGGACTCTTACCTGGCCCACTATATGAGAACCACTAGCCTCTGGCCACAGTTTAGAAGTTTGGTATTTTAAGAGAAAACTGCAAGAAGAGCTAGAAAGCAGTGTACTCAAGGAAAACTCATATGAACGTAGCCCTGAGGAGATTTCTGTAGCATGCTTTGATATTATTGTGAATGCATCTACTGAAAACTATCCTTTAAATACATGATTCTTAACAACAATTATTGTTCTTTAGGGTGACTTTACACCCCCCCCAAAAAAAAGAAATGCAGCTGTATTCATATAGAGTAGGACAGAGTCAACGTGGAAATATAATTCTATTCACAGAAATTCACAGAATTGACAGAAATCTAACTCCTCAAGAATATGTCTATAGAGTAAACTGACATGCACCCATGTGGCATTCTATAGTTTAATTTTAAAAATCACAGCAAATGTTGCAGTGCATACCCTAAAAGCTTCCCGCAGACCTCCATTATCAGCAATATTTTCTCCCAGGGTCCTCTTTCCCTTCACCTAACAGAAAGAAAAAGAAAAAAAGAGTGTTTCACAGCCAACTATCATTCAGCAGGAGGCTTAAATGTGATAGCTAGAGAAAGTACCATATTTTAAAGAGCAAATTACGTTCAATAAATCACAGGTAGTCATAATATATTGTGAGATGGCAAACTCACTCCAGCAAGATGCTCCTGAATATAATAATTTCTATTTTATTATGCTACGCATTTCTTTCTCACCCACCTCTGTATTCTTACCAATTTAGCCAGCCCCGATAAAATGTTAACAAATTCTGAGTGACTCTGGTTTAATGGAGAAAAAGTAGAAATGTCAATACACAGATTACTTTCTCTGATTAATTCATATCATCTGAGTATTCTTTTCAGTGTGCTTGTGTTTCCAAACATTTACGATCCACACAGGAACAAAACTTCACCAACCATCACCATTTTACCTTCAGTGACGTCCATGAAAAATTAAAAGGAGAGTAGTTCTCATGGGGGACAAAACTCAAACAGAAGTCGTGCAGGCCACAAGGTCAAGGCTTGCAACGGGTAGGATAACCAGCCAAGTGCGGTGAAGTAATTCCTCCACACATTTGAAGATTGTTTCCAAAATCCCTAAATAGGCCAGGACAAAAAATACTCCAAACCAATAGAGCCCACAAGCCAGGATCCAACCTGCCCCTTGTTTTTGTACAGGCTACAAGGTGAAACTGGACTTTACATGGCTCAGTGGGGGGGGGGGGGGGAAGCGAAAGAAGGGGAACATTTTGTGGCACGTGAAAATTACACGAAGTTCAAATTCAGTGTCCATTCGTGGATGTACTGTCCGCAGCAGCTCTCCTGCTAGAGCGGCAGAGCTGAGTAGCAGCCACGGAGACCCGTGGCCCGCAAAACCACAATTACTTCCCGTAATTACCCTTTGCAGACAAAGTTTGTCAATCCCTGCCCAAGGGGCAGAATAATGCCCCACCCACCCACCCAAGATGTCTAGATCCTAAATTCCTGGAACCTGTGCAAATGTTATCTTATGTGGCAAAAGGAACTTTTAAAATATGATTACGTAAAGGATCCGGAGACATTAGCCTGCATTAGCCAGGTGGGTCTGGTGTAACTAGAAGGGTCCGTATTAAGTAGAGGAAAAGGGGGTCAGGAGAGTGTGTCAGAGTGATGCTGTGACCAGCCACTGCTGGCTTTGAAGAAAGAAGGGGCCAGGAGCCAAGGAATGTGGCCAGCCTCTGAAAGCGAGGAACAGCGACGCAACAGATCCTCCCCTAGAGCAGCTAGAAGGAAAAGCAGCTCTGCTTACATCTTGGCTTGAGCCCACTGAGACCTGAGTGTGACATACAGAAATGCAGAACAGGGTTTGTGTTCTTTCAGGTCATTAAGTTTGTGGTGATCTGTGACAGCAGTAACCAGAAACGTGGACACCCTGCTCTCAACTTTAGAGCCATGGATCCTACCCACTCTTCCCTTTTAAGCTAGGCCAATCACCCAGGTATCAAGCAATCACAATGGATAAAAACAACTCTTCAGACAACATTTATTTCTGTAATCACCCAGGACCTTCCTAGCTTCGGTTCTCCAAAGTTCCCACTCCTGCTCTTACATAGATTCTTTCTTTTATGACAGTCCTCCAAGGTAAGTGTTGTTACCACCACCTTGCTTAACACACGGGGAAAGAAGAGCTCAGAGTGTGTAGCACAGGTCTTTGGTGTCGCACCAGATCCCTGTTTCTACCGGGACTGTGCACCCATTCTTACAACTGCTCCTAGCTCAAAAAGGTTAAGCTTAGCTTAGCAGAGTCGCCTCACCTGAAGTTTCCCGGCAGGTGATGTCCTACCTCTCAGGAACTGACTGATGTGCACTCAGAACTGCCCAACCCCTTACCCCAGGCTGAACAATTTCTGTGGTGCGATTCAGGCCCCAGAACCTTCTACGGAATCAGGCTGAGACAAAACTCCTGAAACCAACATGTTTTCTCGTATAGGTTTCTCCTGAAACCAACCACCATCTTATAGGTTTCTCCTGAAACTACTTCCTAAATAAGTCCCTTACCTAAGAAACCCCTTCTTGGGCTTTGCTTCCAGGGAACCTGACCTAAAATAGTGATTAAAGGAACTACCCACATTCACAGGGATTCAAACCCAAGCAGTTTGTCTCCAGAGTCTTTGCTTCATAATATGCTACCTTCTCAAGTCACAACTGCTCTTGATTCTGGTGCTTCTGTTTATATCTACTCATGCTTGAATTTAATCTCCTTCCTTGTTCCTCTAAGCTTTATCAAAATCGGAGGTTTGGGGAGTAGCCTTCCCCCTCTGGCTCCTCCCACTCTAGACCACCTCAGCAGACCATATGGCCGTAGGTTGCCTCTCAAGACTCACGAGCTGCTCACAGTCTGCTTCTGTGGCACTCTACTGGAGCTCTCTCCAGTTCACTGCCAAGGGTTCAGGCACAGAGGACCAGCATCCACAAATGGAGCCAGAAAATAAAGCACAGCCCTTTATACCCACAAAGAAAGCCACCCTTTCTCCTCTGGGAATGAGAATAAAACTGTTTTCTGATGGTTGGATGGATGGATACTGACACAGCATCCCCTTTCTATCGTCCTTGTGACAAAGGTACACATTTGCTGGAATTTACTTTCAATATCTGACATTTTAGTCCAAATTGATGCTGTAGAATAGTCCTCCCACCAACATACCACCTAGGAATAAAATGAACTTAAAATAAGAGAATGACAGAATGATATGGGGGGAAGAATATGGATGTTGGGGGACGCCTGGGTGGCTCAGTGGGTTAAGCGGCTGCCTTCTGCTCAGGTCATGATCCCAGGGTCCTGGGATCGAGGCCCGCATCAGGATCCTTGCTCAGTGGGGAGCCTGCTTTGCCCTCGGCCTGCACTCCCCCGCTTGTGTGCTCTCGCTCTCTCTCTCTCTGACAAATAAATAAAATCTTTTAAAAAAGGAATATGGATCTTGGAATCACACCAATCTAAATTCTAATCTAGACTTTACTGCGGGTTTTTATCTCTTTGAGCTTCAGTTTTCTTATATGTAAAATAGGCTAGCAATATGTATACCTCTCAGGACCAGAATGAGGATTAAATTTGTTTCAGGTAAGTGGAAAGTCTAACACCCAAGCCTGCAGGTAACAATCATCAGGAAATCTGTATTCCCTTCATCCAATAAAACTGCTCTTCTATTGTTTTGTTGTTGTTTTCAGCCCCCAAATCTTTGCCTTTGTTTTCCCCTAAGATGGGGTACCTACGAGTATGTCACAAAGTAGTAATAATATTAGCCACAATTTACTAAGCACTTACTGCATGTCACACATGATGCTGGTGCTTTATATAATTTCAGTCATTTAGTTCTTACAAATGACTGAGTTCAGAAATAGTGACCCATTTCACAGATGAAGACTCTGAGACTCAGGAAAGTCAAGCAACTTTCCCATGTTCACAAAACTTATAACTGGCTGAGTCAAGATTTGAACCTCTGACTCTAGAACCCCTCCCTTATGCTCTTCCTGGAGCAACATATATTCTCGATGGATTTTCACAATGTGATAACCTCTGAATTGAATACAGATAAACAGGGGCACCCATTTCAGGTCTCCTCGTGACATACTTGTAGATATTAAAGAAATATATGGGCAGAGAAATAAATGGCTTTCCAGAACAGTGATGAAAGAGCTAGAGATACTATTCAAGGATACAGCCTCTGGTTTCTCTGCCTGGACAAGGAGTGGTGTTCCTGGTGTTGAATATGGCTGAAGAACCAGGAGGACCAAGTCAGTTCTGTGTGGTCTCTTGCTTCTGTTATGTGCTGTCCCCTTGACTATACAATGTAGGAGCATACAGTGCATGCATCTATATTTTAGAGTAAGGGCTTCCTGCAGATCCATACCCTACCAACAATTCTTCATTATTGGTCTCTTACTGTCAAATACAACAAGAGAAATCTATCTCATAATTATGAAAGCAGGGGCAGAAAATGCAATAAAAAACTACAAGAAAAAAATTAATAGTAGGGAGAGGGCATGGAAACCTGATCAAACCAGCAAAATAAGAAAAACAAAAAAGAAGTAAAAACAATGTGCAGGAGATAAAGTATATACAGAAAACTATACAGTTGTACTGGAAAACCTAAAACAAGAACCAAACAGATAAAAAGGCATACCATGTTCTTGAACAAGAAGACTATATCATAAAAAATGTCAATTCCATACACCGAATATGATTTAATTTAGAATCCCAATGGGATTTTCTTTGGTGGACAGGGTGAGAATCAGTAACATGATCTTGGAGCATATACAGAAGTTTCTTTGCCTGGGCAAAGCACATAAAAGAACAGTGAGGGAGACCTTGTATTGACAGATACCAGAACAATCCATATAGCCATGGTAGTAAGACCTTGGTGTAGAAATCAACATACAGACCAGCAGAATAGAATATACAATCCAAAAATTGATATCAGTATGTAGGAGATTCTAAAATTTGACAAATACTCAATTCAGTGAGGAAAAAAATGTCTTTCAATCAATGATGTTGGATCAACTGACTATCCTTTTGGAAGAAAAGAACTCTCACATTAAACTCCATAAAAGGGGGGCACCTGGGTGGCTCAGTCAGTTAAGCATCTGCCTTCGGCTCCAGACATGATCCCAGGGTCCTGGGATCAAGCCTCAGGTCACACTTCCTGCTCAGTGGGGAGTCTGCTTCTCCTTTTCCCTCTGCCTCTCCTCCCTTCTGGTGTTCTCTTTATCTCAAATAAATAAATAAAATCTAAAAAAATAAAAAAAAACCCTCCATAAAAAAGTTAGGTTTCATATGCATGAAGATTTAAATACAAAATAACAAAACAACAAAAACCTTCCTAGAAAAGCCAGGAGACTGCAGAAACTATATTTTTAAAGATTTTTTATTTATTTGAGAGAGTGAGAAAGAGCAGAAGAAGCAGACTCCCTGCTGAGCTCAGAGCCTGATGTGGGGATGTGGGGCTCCAGGTGGGGCTCGATCCCAGGACTCCAGGATCATGACCTGAGCCAAAGGCAGATGCTTAACAGACTGAGCCACCCAGGCACCCCTACTTTTTAAGAGAAATAGGTATCTTTGGCTCTATAGAAATGTTTAATTTTTGTATGTCAAAAGATGCATACATAAAATCCAATGGATGCATAATATATTTGGGAGAAAATACTGTAATGTGAATGACAAAATTTTTAACATCTGTAATATCTTTAAAAAGTTCTCACGCATTAGCGAGAAAATCACTGAATAGATAAATGCTCTTTCATATATCACCGGTGGGAATATGAATATTATAACTTGTTGGTGACAGTAGGAATCTATCCTAGATGGACAAAATGAATATGTATACAATGAGAGGGTTTGTTATAGCAGCATTTGCTGTGGGAAAAGAACTGGAGACCAAGTGTGACCTCTCTCAACATGAGGTTAGCTGAATATGTAGAGTACGTTGCCACTGTGCACTACTAGGCAGCCACTGAAAAGCAGGCAATAAAGGGGTCTGTGGGGGGCACCTGGGTGGCTCAGTCGTTAGGCGTCTGCCTTTGGCTCAGGTCATGATCCCAGGGTCCTGGGATCGAGCCCTGCATCGGGCTCCCTGCTCCGCGGGAAGCCTGCTTCTCCCTCTCCCACTCCCCCTGCTTGTGTTCCTGCTCTTGCTGTCTCTCTCCGTCAAATAAATAAATAATCTTTAAAAAAAAAAAAAAGATAAAGGGGTCTGTGGTGTGTGTCTATCTCTTTGTGAGCAAGGGAAACAGTGTATCAGGGTGATTAAGATGAATGACAGGTAGGGAAGAGAAGAGTGATGAGAGGTGTAAGGCTGAAGACAAGAAAGGAACAAAATCCAGCACACACGAACAGCATGTATAAAATTTCATTCTTGCCTTCACGGACATGCATGTATGTATACATAATAGAAAATAGACATTTTAGAAGTACATTTATTTTGTTTCAAACTTCTATAACTAACATCTCTTAACCAATTCAGAGTCATTAATTCAAAATAATGAGGGTTCTAGAGGGGAGGGGGTGGGAGGATGGGTTAGCCTGGTGATGGGTATTAAAGAGGGCATGTATTGCATGGAGCACTGGGTGTTATGCACAAACAACGAATCATGGAACACTACATCAAAAACTAATGATGTAATGTATGGTGATTAACAATAAAAAATTAAAACATAAAAAAACAAAATAATGAGATGTATTTCAGTGGATTAACTTAAGTAGTAATTTGGAAGGAAATGTTTTTAAATGATATGAAGTGTAGATTTATAAGAACTGTATTGTTTATGTTTGCTACAAGATTTTCTACATTTATCTAAATCTAGGAAACCAAACTAATGTTTAGGCCTGTGAATTCTCAAACTTGACCTTGTATCAGAGTCACCTGAGGGCTTGGCGAAAAGACAGACTGCCAGAAGCCCAGCGCCCCCCTCCCTCCAGGATTCTGGGTCAAGAGGTCTGCAGTAGGACTCAAGAATTTGCATTTCTAGCAAGTTCCCCAGAGAGGCTGATGCTGTTGTCCTGGGAACCACACATTGAGAACCAATGGTCTAAAGCAAACTCATGTCCAAAAGAGAAAAAATGACCCACCAAATGCCATAGTTGTACTTACATTTAAGCCAGCTTTCCTCCAATAATAGTTGCTATATTGGTTAACCATGCACTTTGTTTTTTCTTTAAACTTTTCTTCTGAGTCAGTAGACCACCAAGGATCCAGGTTTCCATTTTTATCATATTTTCTACCTAGTGAAAAGGAAAGTTAAAAGACATTTGTACTACCTGTGTTCTCTTCTAGGATTTTTATGGTTTTAGGTCTCACATTGAGGTCTTTCATCCATTTTGAATTTATTTTTGTGTAGGGTGTCAGAAAGTGGTCCAGTTTCATTCCTTTGCATGTAGCTGTCCGGTTTTCCCAGGAGCATTCGTTGAAGAGACTGTCTATTTCCCACTGGATATTCTTTCCTGCTTTGTCAAAGATTAATTGGCCATATATTTGTGGGCTCATTTCTGGGTTTTCTATTCTTTCCATTAATCTACGTGTCTATTTTTGTGCCAGAACCATACTATTTTGATGACTAGAGCTTTGTAATAGAGTTTGAAGTCTGGAATTGTGATGCCTCCTGCTTTGCTTTTCTTTTTCAAGATTGCTTTGGCTATCCGGGGTCTTCTGTGGTTCCATACAAATTTTAGGACTGTTTGCCCTAACTCTGTGAAAAATACTGGTGGTATTTTGATAGGGATTGCATCATTTTTCCAAAGAAGACATCCAGATGGCCAACACACATGAAAAGATGCTCAACATCACTCATCATCAGGGAAATGCAAATCAAAACTACAATGAGATATCACCTCACACATGTCAGAATGTCTAGTATCAAAAAGATAAGAGATAACAAGTGTTGGAGAGGATGTGGAGAAAGGGGAACCCTCTTGCACTGTTGGCGGAAATGCAAATGGGTGCAGCCCCTGTGGAAGACCGTATGGAGGTTCCGCAAAAAGCTAAAAATAGAAACAGGTTCCACAAAAAGTTAAAAATAGAACTACCCTACGACCCAGCAATTATACTACTGGGTATTTATCCAAATGATATAAAAATACTGATTTGAAGGGGTGCATGCACCCTGATGTTTACAGCAGCATTATCTACAATTACCATATCATGGAAACAGCCCAAGTGTCCACTGACAGATAAATGGATAAAAAAAAGGTGGTATATATAGAGACAGTGGAATATTATTCAGCCATAAAAAAGAATAAATGTTGCCATTTGCAATGACAGGGATGGAGCTAGAGAGTATAATGCTAAGTGAAATCAGTCAGTCAGAGAAAGACAAATACCATATGATTTCACTCATATGTGGAATTTAAAAAACAAATGAGCAAAGGGAGAAAAAAGAGAGAGAAGCAAACCAAGAAACAGACTCTTAACTCTAGAGAACAATCTAATGGTTACCAGAGAGGAGGTGGGGGGGATGGGTGAAACAGGTGATGGGGATTAAGGAGGGCACTTGTCCTGATGAGCACCAAGTGATACATGCAAGTGCCGAATATTGTACACCTGAAACTGATATTACACTGTATGTTCACTAACTAGAATTTAAATAAGGACTTAAAAAAGAAATTTGTACTATTTGTGGAAACTAATTTCTTCATTTTCCCTTTCCCTCAATTCAATAGACCTTGAAAAAGCAGTCCCAGTAGCAAGGGTCATTCCTGGGAGCAGCTCCCACCTTCTCTCCAATGTCACAGGTTAATTATAAAAAGAGGGGTTGAGAAAGAGGTTTGAGGAAGTTCTTTCCTTCTAAGCAACAAAGAACATTTTAAAAATAAGATTCATCAACTGATGGCATGCACACCGTGAACCAATCTTGAATTCTTTGTTTTCACCTGATGTGACCCATAATGTTCTCTGGATTATGAAATGAAACGGCTTCATTCAGAAAGCCCACGGAGGGAGCTGGAGCGTCACTACCAGTGAAATTCCAAACGATCCATAGGAACAGCCCAGTGAGTCATTCACACCGATCCATAGGCACAGCCAAATGAGTCATTCACACCGTGAGACCACAGCCCCTGACTCAGCCCTATAGGAACGTGTTTCCTCCAAGTTGCTAGGAGCTGAGAGGCACATAAAACCTCTGTTATGAATCATTTCACAGCCATCAGTGTGCATGGAAGGCCCATCTGTCCTGCTTTGACAAGGCAGGTGGCTCTAAAAAGAGAACTTGGAACAAGAATGGAAATCTCCAAAACATAATGGAAAAAAAGATTAATTATACATGGTAGTTTGTTTTTTGTTTTTTGTTTTTTCTGTTTTTTTGCTACAGGCTCAGACTTCGTTTTGTCTACACCCTTCAAAAAAAGTTTGAGTAGATCTGGACTATCGTCCATACTCAAGATTACTATTGGTTTAAATTTAATTATGCAAAGAACTCTTCCTTGGACTTACAAGAAAATCCCCGAAGCAAAGGTGTTAACTGAAATAATCCAAAACTCTTTGGCAAGGGTGGATGCCACTACCACCACCCCCTGGGAGAGCATGGAGTCACTGTCCTCCATACACTATCCCACCAATCATTAAACAGTTACTGGGCACGTAGTTAACTCTGTAACTCTCTGTTCTAATTATTGGTTATGGAATGAAATTGCCATCATTAGATTATGTCCTTTGAGAATGAATGGCTCCAGAAGGCCTCCAAAAGATTCCGGGGGAGAACTGTACTTAAATTTCCCAGGAAGAAAGGCCCAGAACCAAGAGATGACTACTGGGTTATGTTTCTTAGCTAAGACTCTCCTCTTAGATAAAGCGAACATGCAAAGACAGAAAGTGTAGCTCTGGAGATTGAGATGACTATAAGGCAGCTACATTTTTAATAGGGAGGGGAGAAATCAGAGGAGCAGAAACCCTAGGTGATTCAGGAAGCGCTGGTGGGAGCACAGGAAGAACTGTCCAGAAGGAGAAGAACCAAGAGTCTCTGGCCGTGGAGTAGGCATCCAGGAAAGGATGTTGGAGACACCACCGACATGGAAGAAAAAAAGGTCCTCCTACACAGTGTTGCCTTGTGCCAGCCAGGTCCTTGAATCTGCCTGTAAATCATTGTGCAGATGTGCATATGATTGTAATTTGCTGCTAATTCATAAATTTTAGAGATTTCATGTGGATTTCCAATAATGCTCAAAGGTAAAGGAGAAAGGAGTGCCAATCAAAAATGATGACGACTCTCAAAGGGCGCTAATTTCAGTTTATGTCATATTCTGCTCTTGTGCTTAAATATCATCAGGATACATAGCACATTCTTCTATATTATACATTATTAGAAAAGCAAAGCCTTTTAACAAAATTCTGAATATATGCCAGCATAGAGAAAAACAGAGCTTAAGCATTGCATAATCTTTGCAATAGTATAAAGGGATCAGGCAGCCAAGCTCCAGAGTCCTAACTGGCTGAGTCCTAACTTGGCAGCACGTATAATCATCCTAGGAGCAGAGCTCACACCTCCAAGGAGAGCATCTCAAGATGGTGAATAAAGAAATGACAAAGGGGAGAAGCTATGAAGCAGTTCCTGGAACTATCGTGGCAGCTACAGCAAGCCTGATCTAAATGCAAAGTTAACTTCATTGAAATTACAAGGTCTTTTTTTTTTTTTTTTCCACGCTATCTCATCACCAACGGGAACAATTACTTATTTATGGCAAGCTATCACAGCAAGACATGGGGGGAAGTTTTCAATCAGCAATCATACTGCTTTGGATAATCTTCAGTCTATGATGATGCCACTATGCAAAGATAATAGCAACAATTAACATCCGTACCATCAACATTATCATAAAAAGCAGCAGCTCATACAACGAACCGGTACTTACCATTATTATCAAATCCATGTGTAAATTCATGTCCAACAATTACTCCTATAGCTCCATAACTCAGAGATCTACGGTACAAATATATAATTTGGAGAAAATTACAAGCATTAATCTCAGAGCATAATCCTTTGATTTTTTTCAATGAAAGCCAAGATAATCTGTTTTCTAGTAACCACAATAACAACTTAATAACCATACCCACAAAACTATAAAAAAAAAAATCTAAACACACCCTTCTCACTGAAATGCATAAAGAAAACCATGACCCTGTACGACATTAGGGATACGAAAGAGATGGTTTCTGAAGTCCCTTCCAGCCCTAAGGTTTCTATGATTCTGTATCTGCTCCAGCTAGTTTGTATCCATGAACACATAAAGCAGCAGCAGGCTTTGAAAAGATCCTGTCAGTAAACATACCATTTATTTTTTTATCTGAGAACCTGTTGAAAAATCACTCTAGACTTAGAAGTTATTCCCCAAATGCAATCATAAAAAAAGGAACAGAGCAGAGATTCAAAGGGATCACTGCTTTCAAAGGGAGTCACGTTCCCTTGCTTCTGTGACAGACAAGGTCACGAGTGAATGGCAAGGATTGTGAAGCCTTAACCAGAGTTGGAAACTGCAGAATCGTGAGCCAATAGTGGTGGTTTGGAAGTGCTTGAGTGGTGGTTAGGTAGCAATACATAACTGAAACAGTATGTTAATGATAAATGAAGAAATCCATAAGGAGGCTTCTGGATGTGTGTATGGGTCTGGGACCTTCTCTCCCAACTACAAGTTCCATGAAGGCCAAACCCTTATCTACTTGGTCACTGCTATTTTTCTGTAACTAGGACACAGTAAGAAAGTCGCAGTGATTTAACTCATCGGTTAATTAACTTTACCATTTCACACAAGTGACAGGTCTACATGTAACTTATTTTAGTGATTTAACATGTGGATGAGGATTAAAGACGATTTAAAATCCTTGTTATGAGGATTCTTCCTGAGATTTGCAATTATGCTAAAAATATTTCGCAGTTGGCTCCTGACAAGCGACATCAAAATCACCCGGCAAATGGAAAGGACCCGTAAGTGGAAAGAACAAAAAATTTTTGAGGCAACATGTTATTACAGGACATAATGATCCTTAACATGCTAATTGTTTGTCTCAACCATACCCAAGGAAGTGCTATAAGATTTAATTTTTCCCCTCGGTGGCAATTCTTTCCTTTGTTATTTCTTTCCTGCAAGGTAATTTGCATTTGAAAAAACGCTTCCTACTGTTTTTACATCATTGCAAACCTTCATTACGAAAGTAAGAGCAAAATTATGCATTTCAATCATGGAGCTCCCATGGCAGTGTGGGACAAACTTGTAATTTTACATAGTGCTAGTTTCTGCAGCAGGCTCTACACTATGCAGCCTGTAACCTTGCGGTTTTTCATGCCTCTCAGCCCTGAGCACAGTACTCAGGCCTCTATAACCCCTGGTCAATGCTGGTGACTGGACGGGCTTAAGGGATGAACAATGGAAGCTTATAGGAACTGCTCTGCAATCAATGTCCCTTAAGAGGGACTGCTCTGATGAGCTTCCTATTTGCGAAGGGTAATAAAGAATTCAGAAAATGACTGAATCACTGTAAGTTCCAATTCTCAGTCACATAATCGTGATCCTTTGGACGGGAGACAAGAAAAAGTAATTTTATATGACTGAGCCTTCCAATGATAATGTTTCAGAATGCTGAAGTCCCATCTTCCATTTCATCAATGGACATTATTAAATGAGCATGCCATAAAAATAAATAAACTCAAATGCCTTTTAAAATGGGGCCGGCTGGCCAGAAACAAGAAGACTGCTGCAGAGAAAAATCGAGTCTTCCAAAAACAAAATGGAAAAAATGACCATTTTTCCACCTACTCAGTTTCTCTTGTGTTCTTACTACCCACCCCATGGGTTTAACGTGTGCCCTGTATTCTGCTGTCAACAAGAGGACGGCCAGGCCGCTGTGCAGCAACCATGATCTCACACTGTCATCAAGTAAGGGCTACTCTGTGCCTGAATCAGAAACTCATCAAAACCTCCGATTTGAAAGCAGCTTTCAGGTTATCTACTTCGACTCCTTGGCAGAGGCATGGGCCTCCTCCACAAAAACCCATTCCAATAGTCATAGGACTTCTCCTGGGATTTCTAATAACCAGGAGCTCATGAGGGGGACTGGTCCCTCTTCAGGTGGTTCTAAATAAAACAGCTCTCCCTAACACTGATCCACGATCTCTCTCCTACGTCTTCTATCTATTGGTCTCGTATAGTCTCTAGCTAAATACCCTCTGACCCCCCTGAATACAGTAAATTGTCTGCCACCTTAACTCTCCTTCAAAAATGTGAAGACACTTACAAGGTTCCCCTTCAAGTGTCCTCAAGTTCTTTAAATTGTTCGTCTTCAGCCATGAATTCTAGACCAGCGTTTCCCAAAACAAAGGCAAAGGGGGAGGTTAGGAACCTCTGGGTTAAACACATTTAAATAGGTTTCTTTCTTACAGAACTTCTTGCAAATTCTTATGCTGCTGAATATTGTAATTCTTCAAAAAAGAAAGGGAGGGTGACTTACCTCTATTACTACTTCATGGAACACACACTTTGGGATGTTGTCTTAGGCTACTTACAATCCTGAATCTTTCCTCTAGAAACAATTTAGCTTGTTGATGTCCCCAGAGCTAGACCCAACATTCAGGGAAAGACTAAGTTGACCAGTGTGAACATAATGGATACCCACTTGCTGGGTCTGGAGGCTAGCTATCCAAAACAGATGTATGGGAAGCCAGCTGACCGGACTGTGATTCCCATGTCTCCAGCATCTCCATCTTTCCAACACCAAGTACCCAAAAGATGCTTAATAATTATTCATTGAGCAGATATCGTAATAGAGGATGGAAGGCTTCAGTGAGGACATAGAACTCTAGGAAAAAAATACAAATCTCTCTCCTACTCAAGTATCAAATATGGCTCAGCCTAAAGCTAAACTCACAGATACTAATATTATTTCCTAGGTTTCTATGATTTTGACTTTTAGATCAGAAAATCATGCTCATGGACCCAATAAACAAATTCACTGAATCAGTAACTTCAAAACCTAACCAGACTATTTCCAAGTCTCTAGGTATATAACCACAATAACAGAAGCTCAGATAAACTGCTAAAGATAAGCAGAATCAAAGAATTCTAGGACATTTTTAGTTTGAAGGAAATTTAGAGAATATTTAGCCTAGACCTTTATTTTTATAGAAATATGTGTAAGTTTTTAATTTGAATAATAGGGAAAAATCAATTCCAAATATCTGAGCACTAATAAAAAACTATGCAGCTGAGGCCTGGGATGATAGTAAGGGATCTGGTTAATGCAAACCAAGAATTTTCATTTATGCTAATGGAGCGCTTCCCTAAGGTAAGCTTTACTGACGCCTGCTCCTGGTCCCCTCAGCACTCACCATTTTTGAGCATACCAGTACAACAGCTTCCAACTGCCAACACCTGAAACTAGTTGCCTGAGGACTTTTTCTGGCTACCAGAGCCCTCGTGGCCGAGACCGGGCAACGCCAGAGAGTTAATACAGCAGGTGGCAGCCCTCAAGTCAATGAGGGAAGGGGAGTTGGATGATCAACACCCCAGCAACCTTGCCCCTGAGGTGGGATTACGCTGAAGCATGTTCTACAGTTCCGCAGCAGGACTGAGCCCCAGTTGCTCACAGTGATAACAGGCTTTGAAACACATATGTGGTAGGTAGAATAACGGCCCCCAAAAGATGTCCACATGCTAATACCCAGAAGTCATGATATGTGATGTTATTACATAGCAAAGGGGAATTAAGGTTACTAATCAGCTGAGCTTAAAATAGGGAGATTATCCTGGATTATCTGGGTGCACCCAATATAATCACAAGGGTCCTTCAAAGTGGAGGAGAAGGCAGAAGAGGAGAGTCAGAAGGAGATGTGACTATGGATCTATGGTCAGAGAAATGCAACTTTGCTAGTTTGGAAGATGGAGAAAGGGGTCATGAGCCAAGGAATGTGGGCCAACTCTAGAAGCTAGAAAAGGCAAGGAAACAGATTCCTCCCTAGAGCTTCCAAAAAGGAATGCAGCTGTACCAACATCTTGTGTTTACCCCAGTGAGACCCAGGTTGGACTTCTGACCTAAAGAACCATAAGCTAAGGGCGCCTGGGTGGCTCAGTTGGTTAAGCGACTGCCTTCGGCTCAGGTCATGATCCTGGAGTCCCTGGATTGAGTCCAGCATCGGGCTCCCTGCTCAGCGGGGGGTCTGCTTCTCTGTCTGACCCTCTTCCCTCTCATGCTCTCTCTCATTCTCTCTCTCAAATAAATAAATAAAATCTTTAAAAAAAAAAAGAACCATAAGCTAATAAATTCATGTTGTTTTAAGCCACTAAGTTTGTGATAATTATGGTAGCCACAGGAAACTCATGCAACACAATTTATTGGCTTCCTTCCCTCCCTGTCTCACGTCTCCATTTCCCTGCTGGTGTTTTCTGCTGTCACCTCCCATAAGAACTCCTTGAACTCGATTCCTTGTCATAGGGTCTGCTTTTGGAGAAGTCCAAATCAAAATACTGCCACCATATTTCTCTTACTTTTATATGTATGTGATCCCATATGTTTTTAACCTACAAAATATTTAAATTGTCATTTATCTAAACCAAAACACAAGACACTAAACTTCTAAAAGCAAGACTAAATTTTCTGTATATTAAAGAACCAGAGCAAACAAAGGCACACAATAAAAGTGGTGATATTACCAATAATGAATATTATCAGAATTCCCACTATATATGTAAATTCTGAATTACTTAAGTCTACAATCTGTTGGTATTAATGACCTTTAATATCTCTAACTCCAGAGACTATCAATTTTTGACCTATTATATTACTACCCAGGTTATATTTCTAAAGACAAATTTGATTATCTTTACTTATTCAAAAACTTCTATATGTTCTATTGCTTGTTAATGTCCAGGCTCCTTACCCAGCACTCAGAGCCCTCCAATATCCAATATCAAACTTCTTTTCTAGATGTCTCTTCCACTACTTCCCTTCATATATGACTTGAACCAGCCAAACTAAAATCTTTGCTATTCTATACACACTTTTCTTTCCTCTTCTCACATTATTTCTTCCATTTCTTCCATGGTGTCCGACCCAATACCATCAACTCAAATCCCAACAATCCTTCAAGGTCCAAATATTTGTACTATGAGTCAATGCACAAGTGAATAAATGCATAAAAATGAAAGCTCCATGTGTAGAAGTTGTCTCTCCTGTCCAGTCATACATCCTGGTAAAAAGAATAGGAAGACAAATACCTAAAATGATGAAAGCACGACTGGCCCACACCAGGTTCCACGCCCTTCTTGTGCTAAACAACCACTGGCTTTGTTTTTTTTGTTCTGTTTTGATTTTTGTGACTTTATATTTTATTCTCTGCCAAAGCAGCATGTTCTCCCCTACTCGTCAATAACTGGTTTCTTCACTCATTTACTTACCGAGGATATTCTGTTCCCCAAAAAAAGGGCTTCTGGAGCTCTCCTGCTGGAAACCCTGGGAGAAAGACAAACAAAACTGTAAGGGATACAGAGATTGATTCGATGAGGAGTACTTGGTTCAAGCTTTAGCCTGGAAGTTTCAAAGGTCCATCTGAAAGGTCCTCTTCGTGGAGCTGGGAGTATTCTAAGACATTCAACTGTTTCTAAAACGATATTAATTCAATGGAGTTTGAAATAAGTGCATCACATGAGTTTCAAGGAAACCACTTTGCATGAATATGCTATTGGCATTGTCCAGCCTGTTGTGAACTGGGCTCCTTTATACAGCATGTGCAGGAGGCTTCTGGCTGTCCAGCAGCTTTCCCTGATACAGAGAGGGCCAGCTACACGGATACGCAACCTATGCAGTCAAAGCCCCCCCCCCCACCAGGTGCCCCATTTGCATGCAGCATTCTTGATACTTCCTACGAACACAGAACTCCACTAGACCCACAATGTGTGGGAATTCAGTGAGACTCAAAGTGAGTACAAGGGAAGCATGTGACATCTAGGACTGAGTAGAAGGGGCCTCTGGCAGCCCCAAGAAGGTCCTTTCCATTGGAACCAGGATTTGCTTTGATCACCCAAAAAAATGCAGTGGCATTCTGAGAAACAAGAATGACCAAGGAACCCTGTTATATCCTTTCCTACTTGTGTTACTTCTCTGTATTAAACAATCACATACACTGAAAATTACATAGGAGGAAGGGGAAAGACAGGGCTACCCACAGTTCCTTTTCCTTCAGTCCTCCCTTACTCATCAATAAGCCAGAGGTAGACAGTGTGAGTAGAATGTACATGTATTAAGAAATAACAAAAGCCGCTGGGTTAGTTTTGTGCAGCGTTTCCACTGGCCTGGTAAGAACAAATACCTATGCATGTATAAGCTACAAAATACAAACTGTATAATGTTGGTGATTCCACAGGTAAGTCAAAAGCTCTTATATTTTCATTTAAAACTGACATTACACAATATGAAAATGAACCATAAACTTATGCTGATGACTGAAAATGTTTATTTTTCCTACAACTTAACAATGACATTAAATAGCAAATAAAAAACTGACAAGTCTAGAGAAAGAAAGGCCACGGGAGGCAGGACAAAGCTGCATACCTGAGTACCTTTAACTGCACTTTTTCTGACTTTCTGAACTATTTTCATCTGCCACTGGGCCATACAAATTAAGCAGCTGGTTTTGTGCAGATGAGCAGGAGAAATGCTTTGCTTTGGTATTGCAACTCACCACTAAATCTGGCACCCTGGGCGGATTCTGAGAGCTGCGTTAGTAAGTCATAACAATTGGGAATGTAAAGAATAGTAACAGAAGACAAAACAAAGGGGGGGGAGCGAGCACCCCTTCTGCAATGTCCTTGCCTGCTCCAGCCACCGCTCTAGCCCCCCTGAGACTGAAAGCTCTTCTAGGAGTTAAAATGTTTTCCCTTCCTCCTCTCCCTCTCCACATTCTGTCTACCCCCGGCCATGAGAGAATACTACGACACTGGGAGGAGAAGTAAGGACAAGAAAGCAAGTTCTTAGTTTAGAAGTGAAATGTTAATTCCATATACCTATTCTTTATATTTTCTTCATATCAGTTTGAGATTTCAAGGTACAAAAACCTCACTGCAAAACAGAGATGGATCTAGCTAGGAGTTCTCTCTCTTCCTGCTACTTTCATAGAGAGGAAAACGCATGACTTTGAAGGGGCAACATCATATTAATCTTCATCGTTTTCAAAATTGCCTGAGATTTTTTTTTGCATCTTTACATCAATATTCCATCCTTTTTTGGTGATTACTTTTAGTAAGTCATTCGAACTTGGAGAGATATATGCAAATATATATTACATATATATGCAAATCACAGTGTTTATGTGAAAGTCTCGTCTCAGACAACAAATCATCAAAAAGCAGTATTTCCCAATAAGAACAATGATCATGAACCAAAGGGATCTAATTATGAAATCATTACGGCGCTCTTGCTTGGTACCACGCCCAGCTGGAAGCATTTCTGTCCACTGCCAACCTCTTTACAGGAAGACATCTGACACCTGCATGTGCCTCTGTTTCTGCGGCTTTTGCTGTCAGGGGCCCCAGACTCGAAGGCCACAGCCATCGCACGCCTCGGGTCAGCTGTGTCTGCTCAGCCTGTCGGGGCCATGGAAGCTCCACTGCTCAACACAAGAATCTGATGCCCTTAGGGCTGTTTTGCTGAAGTGAATGGCTTCACAGTGTAAGCTGCAGGATCGTATCTCAGGAAGTGGATAAGTTGTATTCAGCAAAGGTAGAAGTTAAAAAATAATTAAACAGAAAGGGAATTATTTTCTCTTCTCTCCCTTTTTAATAGGCTTTTCTTATTTTGTTTTGTTTGCAAATCCATTGTATTTCCTTTCCCCCCCATCTCAGCACTGCGTCACCAGTTTCATACTTTTAAAGCTCTTTTTTTTTAAAGCTCCTTTTCCTATCAGTATATTTATGGGAGGCATCCTCACAATGTAAATGTGTGTATGTACACATACATGTGCCTGCATCCATATTACGTGTTACATATGGACACATTATGCATACATAGAGATATACATAAGAGAGGAGAGAGGGAGGGAGAGGAAGGAAAAAAATGTAACTATTAGATTGGTAAAAAAAATTAGTCAATTTGGTAATAGGTAATACTGGCCAGGGTATAGGAAGCATGTTGGTTTGAGCGTAAACTGTTTGTTGTAAGCCTTTTGATGAGCAATTTAGTCATCTCTTATGCTTTAAATGCCACTTCTAAAAAATGAGTAACTATGTGCTGACATGGAAAAAATATCTAAAAGATATTAAGTGGAAAAAATATTAAGTGAAAAACCAGCATTCAGTCGTGTATGTGGTCCTTTTCTGCATAACATATGTTAAACATATGTATAGTTACATACAGTCAGTTCTGCTATAACACTTATATTTAAAAGGCAAATTTGCTCTAAGGTGATTGATACACTGGGGAAAAAATTGAGGCATAATTCCAACTTCATGTTTGCTTATGTTTAATTTCGTCCTCAAGAAATGCTAAGTGAAAGCAGAAAATGCACCAAATGAACTGAGCCACACAGGAATACACAAAACTCACACATCCCAACATGGACCAGTTGGTTACCTCAGTTTGCCACACGCATTAGAAGCCACAGACACCCACACCTGGTGTTAAAATTTTCCTTGCAACTTCAGATCACCCTCCTTCAACCACGACACAGTAACTCACAAGCTGCAAGTCCTCCAACACCCACTTCAACAAACCTCAGGCCTTTCCAGGGGAAAATGCCATATTTACTGTAGTACTTATGTATTTACTCATTTAACATGTGTAAGACTGTGCTATCATTTTTTTCAAAGATGTTTTTTAGAGAGAGAGCGAGCAAGCGATGGTGTGAGCAGGGGGAGGGGCAGAGGGAGAGGAAGAGGGAGTGAAGCAGACTCCCCGCTGAGTGCAGAGCCTGATGCGGGGCTTTATCTCACGATCTCACGACCCTGAGATCATGACCTGAGCCGAAATCAAGAGTCGGATGCTTAACCAACTGAGCCACCTAGGCACCCCTGTGCTATCATTTTTATTAGGCTCCTGGCTTTTGTTTTCATGTGTCATTGATAATGTTTTTGATTGTTGTGTCCCGAACCCCATTTATCCCATAAGCCTGTGGCTTTTACTGCACAATTTTGCATAACACAGTGATGTTTAGGAACATGTATGTCGCGTTATAGCAGAACTAACTATATATGTACATGTGGGCATCTACGTGTATATGAACGCATATATATTCCTGCCAGTGGTCCTCAAATTTTAGCAGGCATCAGAATGACCTAGAGGGCTTATTGGAACAGATTGACGGCCCCACCTAAGAGTTTCTGAGTTAGTATGTACGGAGAGGAGGCTAAGAATTTGTGTCTTTAACAAGTTCCCTTGTGATGCTGAAGCTGCTGGTCTAAGAGCCACACTTCAAAAGCTGCTGCCCAGGGGTGCCTGGGTGGCTCAGATGGTTAAGCGTCTGCCTGGGGCTCAGGTCATGATCTCCAGATCCTGGGATCGAGCCCCATGTCGGGCTCCCTGCTCAGTGGGGAGTCTGCTTCTCCCTCTTCCTCTGCCTCTCCCCACTGCTCCTGCTCTCTCTCTGTCTCAAATGAACAAATAAATTCTTTAATTTTTTTTTTAAAGATTTTATTTATTTGACAGAGAGAGAGACACACACACAGTGAGAGAGGGAACACAAGCAGGGGCAGAGGGAGAGGGAGAAGCAGGCTTCCCGCGGAGCAGGGAGCCCGATGTGGGCTCGATCCCAGGACCCTGGGATCATGATCTGAGCTGTAGGCAGACACTTAACGACTGAGCCACCCAGGCGCCCCTAAAAAATTCTTTAAAAAAAAAAAAAAAAAAAGAGCCGCTGCCCAGACACTCGTTCATGTGTACTGTGGAGTCATGGCTAAATATGTTCATTGCTGCATCGCTACAATTGAGAAAAGTGTGCCGCAAACCAGATGTCCAGAAGGAGAAAAATGACTTAATTATGGCATAACCATACTATGGACTGCTCTGCAGCAAATGAAAAGAAAGAGGTAGGTCTTAATATTCTAGCATGAAAAAATCTCCCAAGACACGTTGTTGGAATAAAGCAAGGCACAGATACAGATAAACACCATTTCTATTTTTTAAATAAGTAGCATATCTGTGTAGTACATGAATGCAAATGCACAGAAAAGGTCTGTAAAATATGTATCAAAGGGATCAGAGTGGCTGCTTCTTGGAGCTAACGGGAACTAGGAGGTGATGACTGATTAAAGGGATTTTGGACATAGACGTAATGTTGTAAATTTTAACTAGTCAAAGGTAATCAACTCGTGTAATGAAAATTAACTCTGAGGGCGCCTGGGTGGCTCAGTTGGTTAAGCGACTGCCTTCGGCTCAGGTCATGATCCTGGAGTCCCAGGATCGAGTCCCGCATCGGGCTCCCTGCTCGGCAGGGAGCCTGCTTCTCCCTCTGACCCTCCCCC